AAACAGAGCACGAGTGAGCGAGGGGCAGTGAGAGAGAATCCCACGAGGGGCAGAGAGAAAGGGAGAGAGTGTGGAGCCCGAAGCGTGACTCAAGCTCACAAACTGTGAGACTGTGACCTGAGCGGATGTCGGATGCTTGACCTGAGCCACGCAGGTGCCCCAAGATGCTATACTTTAAACCCCCAGCATGGCATCTGACGTCATGGGTGTTAAGGAAACGGTATACCATTGATCTTATTCCTCTAAAGTTCATTGTCGTTTTCACAGCCAAAGAGCCCAGAGCTGGAAATTCCCCCAGCGCAGACCCTCCATGGGGTAGGGATGGTGATAACAACAGCTGAGACCTCCCTGCCTCAGCTCGTCCCCAGCCCCCGTGCAGGCAGGCGCCCACCTTGTGCGAGGTCCACACAGAGAGCAGTGTCAATACCTGACTTTAACAACCCTATAGCATCTCCCATGTGCCAGGCACTCTTCCAGGAGCCTTCATTCAGGAACTTTCTTACCCCCCAGCAGCCCTCTAAAGAAGGCACAATTATTACCTTAATTGTACGGATTAAGGCCCCGAGGGTTTATCCAAGGTCCCCAGCCAGGAAGTGGCAGATCTGGGATTTGAACTCAAGCCTCTGCGCCCCAGTGTCAGTGTCTCAGCTGGTGGAGCCAGAGCAGGGGTCACCCCCCTGCCAAGCTGTGCTCCAGGACTGGTGCCTGTTCTCCCCAGGAGCCAGCAGGGGGTCCAAGATGTAACAGGGGACAGTGAGAATTATTAGATGAGCAGTTTTCAGAAAGGCCATCAGGGCTAGAGTATTACCTTGAAGTCTCCGTCTCCCCCCTGGCCCGTCTGCCCAGCAGCTCAGAGCTCCCTGGACCCTTGGCACCAGCATCCTCCCCTGGATCCCTCAGAGGAATCCTGGGGCTCATAGCACTAACGTCCCCCTGTTGGGGATGACCTCACTCAGCTGCAGGGCAAGAGCGCAGCTCGCTGAGGGCTGACCCAGCAGGGAAGGAGGCCTTGGAGGCGGCTAAGGAGAGATGCCTGACCTTATGGGGCCAGAACTCCTTTCACCTTTTCCTCTTCTGTCATATCTCCTGAGTTAAATCCGAGTCATGGCTCTCCTGGCTCAGGCACTGCACCCTGTGTCCCGCAGTGTCCCCTACCTGAACAGAGGTCACCTGGGGACAGGGCCCTATGCCCACCCCTGTGAGGATGGTGGTGGCCCCAAGCCTGCCCAGACTGTTCTTCTCCTCACTAGTGGTGGTGCTTCCAAAGGACCCCGCCTCCCTCCCTCCCCCCCCCCCCCCAACAGGAGCTCATTCCTCTAATTAGGTCCAATGGGTTGTGACAGGAAATGCAAATCTGGGTCATCGCATATGCAGATGTGCAGCTGGAGTCTCAGGATGCCAGCCGGGATGTCACCCTGCCCTCCCAGAGTGTCCTCTGGGCAGCATGGCCTTCAGGGCACATCTCCGGGGTGGACAAGAGAGTGCCAGGGACTCCAGCCACCTTTGACGGCTTCTCGCCTGGTGTTTGCAGAGCAGGGACCCTAGGAGTTCACCTCCTCCAAACTCTTCACTGTCCTGGGGGGAAACTGAGGCTCAGACAGGGGAGGGGCCCTGCCCGTGTCACCTCTCAGTGCATCTGGCTCTACACGGTCAGGGAGTTCAGGGTCAGCTCCCTGCTGACCAGCTGTTAGGAGATTTAAGTCACAAAAGCTGTGTAGGCAGCATCGTAGATCGTTTTCCTGAGGCTGTGTGATTTCAGCTGCGCTCACAAGGGACAGTGGTGGCATCACCAAGTCCCACAGCACACCGGGTTGCTTTGAACACATTCCACTGTGGCATTGGACACATGTGCCCTGAGCACTTGCTCTGGGTGGGTGAGGGCCTCAGCTCAGGGGACATGGAAGGGACTAAGGGGCTCATCTTGGAGAGGCCTGTGTTTGGGGAACGGGGTGGGGCTCAGGTGACTGGACGGGAAGCAAGAAACAGGAAGCATAGACCTGGCCAGTCACAGGGTCTTGAAGGAAAAACAGAGGAGCAATCTGATTTGGGAGGCCACTCAGTATAGCACAAAGGGCGTGGACTCTGGAGTCTCCGGTCGTGGGTCCAAATCCCTCCCATTACTCACTGTGAGGTCTAGAGCTGGTCGCTGCCTCCCCTCTGAGCCTCAGTTTCCTAAAATGCGGACAACAGTGATCCCTACTCACAGGGTCATGGGAAGTGTTCTATACGGTGCCTGGCACACAGTAAGTGCTCAATAAATGCTCGTTCTTTCTTACAAGGCCATTTTGTGTATAAGTAGGTTGATTGTTGTTACTGAAGAACCTACGTGACAGACACTGGCATATGGTGGATAAGATTGGGGTCTTCCTCCTCCACCAGCCCTCACTCCTGCTCAGCACACCCAGGAAGCAGCTTCAAATCTCTCACCAGAAGAGGTAATTACGCCTTAAGCCTTCAGAGTCAAGGTTGGCTGAACTATTGCCTTGCTATGGGAAGGAGGCAGCAGGCTGTGAGTCTCAGACCTTGGTAGGAGGGTGCTGTTAGGATTTCCTTGGCACAGAGCTGGGTCTGGGCAGGTTCAGAAAGGCCAAGAGTAGGGGTGAGGAGTAGCAGCTAAGGGCCCCTCTCTCTTGCCCCTTATTACCTGTCAGTAATAAGAATGACTGAGCACCTACTGTGTGCAGGGGTAAGGGGGGCTCAGCAATCTCACATGATCCTTCCAGCAACCCTAAGAGACAGCCCTGCTTCTATCCCTCTGCCTTACAAGGAAACAGACGAAGAAGCTTGTGTAACTGCCCAAGGTCACCAGCCAGCAACCCAGAAAACGTGCATCAGGAAATATACATAAGGGTGTTTATTGCAACATTATCTGTAGTGACAGGAGACTGGAAACAAGCTTTCTGTGTCGCGTATTGGGCAGTTATTTAAATCACTGTCAGTGGACAATATGCATCAGTTACTGAGAGGGGAAAGCAAGTCTTAGAGTTAAATGTTCACCCAATTTTGTGGGTTTTTTTTTTAAGTTTACTTATTTGAGAGAGTGCACGTGTGAGTGGGGCAAGGGGCAGAAAGAGAGGGAGACTCCCAAGCAGGGTCCACACTGCCAGTGAGGAGCCTGATGTGGGGCTCGAACTCACAAATTGTGAGATCATGACCTGAGCTGAAATTAGGAGTCAGATGCCTAACTGACTGAGCTACCCAAACACACCATGATTTTGTGTTTTTAAAAAGTACATCATCTCCATATATGTGGACATTCGTTAACTGAGCGAACATTTATTGAGTGCCTACAACATGTCACACACCTTTTTGTGGAGTTGGGAGACAAACAAGATAACTAAGTAAAATACAGCATTTGGAATGCTAGAAGGAGAACATGGAGGGAGTCGGAAGTGTGGAAGGGAGACAAACGGTAAGGCTTCCAAGGAACATTCCAGACAGAAGGCCCAGCGAGAGCACGAAAGGATGGTCAGTGTGGAAGGAGCGAAGTGACCAAGAGAAAGTAATAAAGCAGCAAGGTGGCAGAGGTGTGAGGGGTGTGAGTGGGCAGAGCACGTGGGGTCTTAAAGGCCTCGTGGGGGGTTGTCGGTGAGGACTTTGAGTCACCGTGCCAGGTTGTTAACTTTACTCACCTTACTGTGATGCCGTGCTTTCCTTATCTTTGCCTGTTTCGCATTTCAAACTGAACACATTGGCATAGTAAAGAAAAAGAAGGAAAAAAATCGAAGCTGATTGAGAACAGACATCCTGAAACAGATGCCAGCCCCCACAGGGCCCCACAGGCTTCTTCCGGGGCTTATTTGTCTAAAAGTTGGTATTTGGGTGAAGGAGAGTTCCAGAACGCAGCCCAGAAAAGTTCCTGATCTTCCACCCTCTTGGATGCTTCCGGCCCAAGTCTGGGAGAGGCCTTTTCACGTCAGAAAATTCAGACACTTGTCCCTTCCTGCTTTGGTGGGACTCTTGTGCCTCCCACCCCACCCTCAGCCCCTAAATGAGCTCCGCAGACGTTTCTGTAGCCCTTCTACGTGTGAGACCCGGTCCTCACACACCATCCAGCCGGGGAGGGCCCCCAGTGGCGGTGATCCCCTGCCCCAGAGTGGCGCGGGGGCACGGTCGCAGGAGAAGGGCGCATTTTGCCAGGCCGACGCGGGGCAGACCAGAGCCACAGCGTCCTCTCCTCCTCTTCCCCTTTCCAGGGCCCAAGTTGGCTCCCCGTCCTCTCCTTCTCCCCAGGGTACTTTGCGTGTATGTTGTAGGGGGTGGAAGGGGCGGCGTGCCTACTGCGGGCAGCGCCATCCCTGGGCAGGTCAGCTGTGGGTTCAGCACTGGGTCCTGGAGAGTCATCGTGAAGTGTCTGGATCCTTCGTGTCGCCATAAAGGGGGAAGTTTACCCAAAGAACAGGCTCAGAATGGTGAGGCTGCAGATTTAGTCTTGGTTTTCTCATGTCTTTGATGGGATTGGCTACCCCAGAAGGGGAGGTCGCCACATCCTACGATGACTTGTAGGGTTAGGGTTGGGGCTGACCCGTGGAGGGCCCTGGGGCCCGTGACGCCAGTGAGAGCCAGCAGGGCCGCCCCCTAGCTGTGTGACCTTGGCAGGCCGCTCCCTTCACACCTGCTCTGCCCGCTGGCTCCAGCCTGGGCACAGGGAGGTCAGGAATGAACAAGCTAGGTGAGGCCCAGGCCCCAGGGAGCCAGCCTTCTGGGCGTGCAGGGCAGCAACAAGCAGATGAACGCATGATCAGGTAATGAAGCGTGGTGCTAAGTGCCATGGCGGAAACCAGCGGCCTCAGTTTCTCACGTGCGGAGTCGGGGGCGTCGTGGTGTGGACAGCACCCCGGGGGGTGGTGTGGTCTCCGACTGTGAGGGTGGCCTTCAGAGTCTCTCCTGGACCTTAGAGGAGCGCTGCAGGGGTCGCCGGGCTCCGGAAGGGCCCCCAGCTGCCCAGGGCCCGGCCCCTCACGCAGCCCGGCCACTGACAACCTGTTTCTCTCCTGCAGAGGCACCCAAACAGCCTGTCTTTTCGCTGCTCGCTGGCAGACTTCCAGATCGAGAAGAAGATAGGCCGAGGACAGTTCAGCGAGGTGTACAAGGCCACCTGCCTGCTGGACAGGAAGACGGTGGCTCTCAAGAAGGTGCAGGTGAGCCCATGGGGTCGAAGCCACATCATAGAGCCAGGTTTTGTGTCTAACATTGTGGCCTTGGGCCAGTCCCTTCCCCTTCCTCTAAAACCCACACCTGACTCACAGGGCTGTGGGAAGGATTAGGTGGGCCCCTGTTGATGAAAGCTCATTGTGAGCCTTAAAGGGCAAGGCAAATGAGCATGCATTGAGCACCACTGTATACTGGGTTGTATCTTGAGAACAGCCCCATGGGTGAGGGCGGTCATCCCATTTTTCAGATCAGAAGAACCGCAGAGGCGCGAGTGTCTATCTCACTGGGCCCACGGAGCGAGCGGAGGGGGAGCTCAGACTCCGACCCACACCCACCCTCCCTGGGACCCACACTTGCCGATCACCTCTGGGCTTGAGAGCCTTTCCTGACCTCCATGTCCCTCCGAAATGGAGGAGGGGGCTCGAGCAGACGGGTCGGCAGCCACAGAGACCTGCCAGGCTGCGTTTCAGTGAGAGCCACTGGGCCCATCGGAGCCGCGCGTCACCACGGAAGGTGGCTTTAAATTCTCCAGCGGAGCTCCCCGACGCGCATTTGTCCTTCAAGGATGAGATTAGCCTGGGCAGAGGAGGCCCCAGGGAGAAGGTGACTCAGACGCAGCCATGGGTGGGAGCCAGGCGACCGTTCTTTGCTGGTCTGTAAATGGCACATGCGGCTCCAGGTCGCTGGAGGAGAGACAGGCTCCTCCGGAAATGGCCTGCTTTCTGCTCATGGCCTTCCAAGGAGGGGCCCACCTGGCTCTCTTTGACTTGCTTTCCGGTGCCGTGACGGGTTTTGTAGTGGGCACCTTCTGTTTGTTGCCAGGGGTCAGAGGTGTTCTGAGGGCCCAAGACAAGGCAAGGCTCTGAACAGCCCGGGGGTGGGGGGGGGGGACGGTGCCAGGTGCTGTGCTTGCACCATCGTACTCCGCCCACGTGACCACCTGTGAGGTCAGGCCAGGCTGTTGGCCCCATTTCCAGGGGTGAAGACTGAGGCTCCAAGCATGTTTCCTGGCCTGCCACTTACCAGTGTGTGGCCTCAGCAAGTCACTGCACCTCTGGGTCTTTCTCTGTAAGTCGTCACCAGTAACTCCTGCCTCACAGGAGGATTCAGCGCAGAGCGGTCGGCACAGCGCCTGCCATATGATGGGCACCCAGTAAACAGCTGTCGTGTGTGTGTGGGGTCCCTCGGCGAGGAGGTGGGAGAGCCAGGGTGGGAGTTCCTGTCCTCATGGCTCCCGGCGGGGGGCCCTGGAGCTGGATTTTAACCACTTTCTCTTTTTCCTCTCACCCAAGATATTTGAGATGATGGACGCCAAAGCCAGGCAGGACTGCGTCAAGGAGATCGGCCTCCTAAAGGTGAGTGCCCTGGGCTGAGCAGGGGCCCCTCACTTCCTCTCGGTGGCCTGGTCTCCAGGCGGGGCCACCTGTTGGCCGTCGCAGACCGCAGCTGGTTAGGTTCAGAAACAACGCCCTTTTGAGGGTCAGTGGTCCATTTGTTTCCTCGTGACTGGGTGGGCGTGGGCCCCACCTCACCTCTGCCTGGCCTCATGGCGCCCCCAGACTGGCCGTCCTTGTCCCATGCTGATTCTGTTTATGGACACCGGCGCCTGGCACCAAAGTCCTTCCCCTGAGGGCACCAAATCACTGCCACCCGGGAGATGCCCCCACCTGGGGTAACTCAGCAAGGCCAGCCAGGGATGCTGGACAGGATTCACAGTCAGCTGTGTGGCCCGGGGCTCCTGGTGTTGGACGATTGTCATCCTGTTAGGCTCTTCCCAGACCTATCTAGACAGGAGGTCGGGGGGTGGGGGGTGGTATCTGTGGCCTTTCCTTTCCCCTCCCCTCTGGCCTCCTCGTTGGCCTCCCCAGAGTCAAGAGACAACAGAACTTTCTGGACTAGACTTGCCCCCAGCCTAGGGCTTCTCTCTCCTGGAGATCCCTCCCTGCTCCCTGGAACCCAGGGATTCTGCCCCCGGGTCTTATGGGCGGTGGAGGAGGAGGGATGTTTTGTGTTTTGGAGGCCCCGGAGCCTAGGTTCAAATCCTACTGTCTTCATTTACAAGCTATGTTACCTTAAGCAAGTGACTTAGCCTCTGGGAGCCTCAGTTTGCCCATCTGCTCAGTGGTCAGATAGGCCTCATGGGATACAGGCAGTTAGAGAAGATTAAATAAAATAGTATCTGAGGGAGGCCCGGCACAAGAGAGCACAGAGTAGGTGGTCATGCGGTGTTCTCCCCTTTCAGGAAACAGAGAGCTTGCTCGGCACCTTCCGGTGAAGGGGGCCTGCTGCGGGATTTCTGGTTAGCGGTTTACACCGCCGGGTCTGCCCTGGGCTCTCGGGCCCGGTCCCCGCCCACCCTCAGCCGCTCCCAGGCAGCAGGCAGCGGGCAGCCAGGGTGACTGTCGAAGTGATGCTGGCTGACCCAGGGGCCGGGGAGTACAGGATCCCGTCCCAGACTCTGGAAGGCTGGGGGATCCCCGCGGCGTGGAGCTGGGGGGCCAGGCGGGGGCAGCCTTGGACACCACACTCAGGATGTGGGACTCGAACGCAGGAACAGCAGGGGAGCCCCTGAAGTGGCTGCGAGCAGGGGGTGTGTGGCCCCAAGTGATTTGTGACCCTGCCCATGATGGGTCCCGGGGAGGCTTACGGGGAGGTGTCCTGAACTCGAACTAGTACAGGTCCAAAAATCCCCTCCAGATAATCTTTTTAAAGTTTTACGTAAAAGTTAACTTTGGGACCCAGTTGTGATCTCAGGGCTCTGGCTGATTTCCCCGCCCTTGGGGACCTGCTGTGACGGTCACCCACCCTCTCTCTTGTCCTGTGGCCAAGAATGCACGCGTGCCGTTCACCACGAGTAAGGAATTGTATGTGCACACGTACTGAACCAGCTTGTTCTGGGTCCCTGGGCTTCAGGGAAGTCACAGGCGAGGCTTGGTGCGACCTGGGCCTATTCCAGGGGCTTCCTCAGGCTGCAGTGTGGCCGAGTGCCATTGACCATGGCTCTGGAGGTGGGCACGCCCCTCACGCACTAGCTGTGTGACCGTAGGCAAGCTGTTGACCACTCGGGGCCTCAGTTTTGTTGTCTGTAAAAGGGGGTGATGATAACAGAAGATGGGTTGGAAGGGCTCAGTGTAGCATATCTGTTGCGTGTAAGTGCTTGGTCACAGGCAGCCCTTGTCATTGTGGTTACAGCCTGTGCTGCTCACTGCCAGCCCTTCTCCAGAATGCCGATCCAGCTCCCCAGTCGGCCCACGGGAAGTCAACAGGATGTGCCAGGGCACGAGGTGTTTCCTGCAAAACAAAGGGAAACATAGTTCTCAGGGGCCACTGGGCAACATTATTCATGTCATTCATGCCAGGACCCGAACCCCAAAACCTCCCAGTGCGGAGGCCCCCCAGACATGGGGCGGGAAGGGAGGCCCTGTCAGAACACAGGCATAGATGGTGTGTTCATACAGTCAGCACAGTTTGGGGGAGCACCGAGTGCTGGGCACAAGGATGCAGCCAGCAGGGAAGACAGATCCGAGCAGACTGCTGGATCAGGTCCCAGCGGGGCCACAAGTGGGACAGAGCAAAGCCCCTGGCAGCAGAGATTCGAGGGAGGGAACCTGAGCCCTTTACTGTCACCTCTGCCTTCCTTCTCTCTGGCCGTCGCCCATCCCTCGGTAGCCAGCACCAAGGCCAGGCCTGGCCCGGGGCCTCAGGGACAGCCCCACCCGGTGCAGCTCCAACTTGTGGGAGAGAGAGATGGGTGTGGATTGTGGGGACACCAGACAGCGAGAGGGCGGCCGACGCTGCCAGGAGGAGCTGCACTGGAGATGGATCTTGAGGGGTTGCTTACATGAACCCCAGATACGTGAAGCCAAAGCAGCTACCCCTCTGCCCTCACAAACCGAGAAACCCTGCCCCTCACATCTTTTTTTTTAAACAGTTTCATGCCCACAAGTGCCCTCCTCCATGCCCATCACCCCCCTTCCCTTCCCCCCCACCCCATCAGCCCTCGGTTTGTTCTCAACATTCAAGAGTCTCTCATGGTTTGCCTCCCTCCCTCTCCCCCGCTATTTTTCCCCTTCTTCTCCCCGATGGTCCTCAGTTAAGTTCCTCCTAATCCTCCTATACATGCAAACATATGGTGTCTGTCCTTCTCTGCCTAACTTGTTTCGCTCAGCAT